TACTATTACTCCAGTTTACAAGGTCATCTAAATCTCCCTGCAGGATATCCCGATCCTTCTCCGAATTAGCAATACCTCCCAACTTTGTGTCATCCGCAAACTTTATCAGCCCACTCCTACATTTGGTTCCGAGGTCAGTAATGAATAGATTAAATAAAATCAGACCCAAAACCGAACCTTGAGGAACTCCACTGGTAACCTCCCTCCAGCCTGACAGTTCACCTTTTAGAACGACCCACTGCAGTCTCCCCTTTAACCAGTTCCTTATCCACCTCTGGATTTTCATATCGATCCCCATCTTTTCCAATTTAACTAATAATTCCTCATGCGGTACTGTATCAAACGCTTTACTGAAATCGCGGTATATTAGATCCACCACATTTCCTTTATCTAAGAAATCTGTTACTTTCTCAAAGAAGGAGATCAGGTTGGTTTGGCACGATCTACCTTTCGTAAAACCATGTTGTAATTTGTCCCAATTGGCATTGACCTCAAGGTCCTTAACTACTTTCTCTTTCAAAATTTTTTCCAAGACCTTGCATATTACAGATGTTAGACTAACAGGCCTGTAGTTACCCGGGTCACTTTTTTTCCCCTTCTTGAAAATAGGTACCACATTAGCAATTCTCCAATCAAACGGTACCACCCCCAAGTTTATGGATTCATTGAAAATTATTGCTAACGGGCTTGCAATTTCCCGCGCCAGTTCTTTTAATATTCTTGGATGAAGATCATCCGGTCCACCCAATTTAGTCCCGTTAAGCTGTTTAAGTTTGGCTTCTACCTCGGATACGGTGAAGCTCTCCTGGAGGTACTCCAAAAGCCTTTTAAATGTCCAAATGCACATTTTACCACCATTCTGCACTTGCTCAGCCTATAGTTGAACAGCTCCTGACTACTGTCCAGGCTGCCTGTGTATGGCTTCATGAGCCATAGCATTAAGGGGTAGGCTGGGTCCCCAAGGATAAATATAGGCATGTCAACATCCCCAACAGTTATTTTCTAATCTGGGAAGTAAATCCCTTGCTGCAGCCGTTTAAACAGACTAGTGTTCCTGAAGACACGAGCGTCATGAACTCTTCCCGGTCATCCCACGTTGATGTTGGTGAAACGTCCCTTGTGATCCACCAGTGCTTGCAGCACCATTGAAAAGTACCCCTTGCGGTTTATGTACTGGCTGCCCTGGTGGTCCGGTGCCAAGATAGGGATATGGGTTCCATCTATCGCCCCACTACAGTTAGGGAATCCCATTGCAGCAAAGCCATCTACTATGACGTGCACATTTCCCACAGTCACTATCTTTGGTAGCAGCAGCTCAGTGATTGCTTTGGCTACTTGCATCACAGCAGCCCCCACAGTAGATTTGCCCACTCCAAATTGATTCCTGACTGACCGGTAGCTGTCTGGCGTTGCAAGCTTCCACAGGGCTATCGCCACTCGCTTCTCAACTGTGAGGGCTGCTCTCATCTTGGTATTCTGGTGCTTCAGGGCAGGGGAAAGCAAGTCACAAAGTTTCATGAAAGTGCCCTTACGCATGCAAAAGTTTCGCAGCCACTGGGAATCGTCCCACACCTGGAACACAATGTGGTCCCACCAGTCTGTGCTTGTTTCCTGGGCCCAGAATCGGCGTTCTATGGCATGAACCTGCCCCATTAACAACATGATCTCCAAAGCGCTGGGGCCTGCGGTTTGAGAGAATTCTGTGTCCATGTCCTCATCACTCTTGTCACTGTGCTGCCATCACCGCCTCCTCCTCGCCTGGTTTTGCAGGTTCTGGTTCAGCATAAACTGCACGATAATGCGTGAGGTGTTTACAATGTTCATGACTACTGCATTGAGCTGAGCAGGCTCCATGCTTGCCGTGGTATGGCGTCTGCACAGGTAACCCAGGAAAAAAGGCGTGAAATGGTTGTCTGCCTTTGCTTTCACGGAGGGAGGGAGAGGGGGGCCTGACGACATGTACTCAGAACCACCCGCGACAATGTTTTTTGCCCCATCAGGCATCGGGATCTCAATCCAGAATTCCAATGGGTGGGGGAGACTATGGGATAGCTACCCACAGTCCGGAAGTCAACGCTAGCCTCAGTACTATGGACGCACACCGCCGAATTAATGTGCTTAGTGTGGCCGCATGCACTCGACTTTATACAATCTGTTGCCAAAAATCAAATTCCGTAAAATCGGAGTAATCCCGCAGTGTAGACATACCCAAAGTCCCCACTTCTCCCAGTTAATCTCCCCCTGCATAGAACCCAGAGCAACTCCTGTCTAGCTGGGTCTCCTGACAGCCACAACTGTCCAAAGAGCTGGCCAAGTTCTTCACCTGGTCCCTGTGCAGGGGCAGTTGGCAGTTCTGACCATGAGTATAGCAGTGACTATCCCTAAATGTCACGTGGGGGACTAGGGCTTGATTTCCTGAGGAGAAAGCTGTGATTTTGACACCAAGTGTAGGTCTACAATACAATTAAAAACCCACAGCTGGCCCAGTCCAGCTGACTTGGGCTTGCCAGTCTTGGGGTCCTGGGGCTTGCTCAGGCTGGAGCCCGGCTACTGGGATCCTCCCCTCTTGCTAGGTTCAGTGGCCTATATACTGAAGAGGAGTTCATAAATGGGGAATGTACACTGGGTGCTGCCACTGGACAGATACTTCCTAGCAGGAGACCCACCCAGTTAATGTGATAAAAATATATTTGATGAAAGAAAGGCATCCTGGGGTGCTGTATTTATCATCTCACAATAACTCCAGATTCAATTTGCTCAGATTAGAAAGAAAGATTTTTTTTTTATTGCGAGCCTGGAAATAGCCTATGGTGTAAAAGTCAGAGCTGGATTATTTCTAGCTCATGCACCCTTATCACTAATGAAGGAGTAAAAGAATGTACAAACCAATGAATCCTTAACATGTCATTTGCATCCTTAAGCCTTGTTCCTGTGAAAGGATCTCAAGGACAGCCAGAAATGTTACTCAGTGTCAGGAGGAGAGAGGAAAGCACTTTCCCTCGTGTATTTCCGCAGTCTGTCGTGCAAGGCAGCAGAGGTGCTTTAGGGCATTTTCTGTCACTGATTTTTTTTCATGTTGGTGTGGGAAGAAAGACTTAGCCCTGCCAACTTTTTGAACCTGTGAATGTTAAGTGACCAGGTGATGAGTTAACAATAACGCTGTTGCACAGGATTTGATTGGAACTAGAAAACAAAGCCCTTAAAGTTGAACTCTTGGGTGAATAAAATGATCTGATTTATAGTCAACCTTGGAAGGTAATAGATTGTTACATCAGGCAAAAGAGCCTGGTTTAGTTTGTTTGTTTGGTTCATTGGTTGTTTTCCCTGATAAATTGAAGAGGGTTCAGAGAAGAGCCACAGGAATGATTAAAGGCTTGAGCAGGGAGAGAAGTTTAAAAACAAACCCAACCTTTCCTGCTCCTGTCGGCTGTGACTGCTGAGGACATTTTCCTTCTCTACTCCACGGTCTCTCTTCTGCCAGATTCTCAGCAAGCCAGGCCACCCTGCAAACTATGGCAGAACAGTTTGGTATTAGGCTGCTGGACTCACCGTGTAAGAGTGCAGCTGCTATAGCACCTTGACCAATCCTGGGCCAAATCCTGCAGCCCTGGCAGCCCAGGATAACCTCCCACTGATGGCAATGGGAATTTAGTCTTTGTAACTAGCTGCTGGTACCTGAGGTCTCAGATATGAATTAAACTGGTGACAGACACAGCTTCATCCACAAAAGTGAAGGATGTAAGTGAAAGAGCAAAGCTGGCCATCTGGGGAGCTGCTGCAGTCCCATAACCACAGCTGGAAGGGAGAAGAGGAAAAACTCCCTTAAGTACTGGGAGCAGCACCAAGAAAAGGAAATTTGTCAGTGAGATCAGTAGCAATAAGTATGACATGAAGGAGTGCTTTCTCCTCTGTGATGACACATTTGAATTGTGTTACTTTACTACGAGATAAAGCTTTAAAATATCTGGTCTAATTTCAGGATGGGTCTGTAACCATAATCAGTCTCTGTGGGAAGTGGGACTTTCAAAATTCCCAAGGAATTTAACGGGTGGTGTTCACTGTTGGTCACCTGAGGGCAGTGCAGTAGAGTTCAAACCGATGACCAGAGAGGTGAGAACAGGCATTGTGGGACACCTCCTGGAGGCCAGTCACAGCGCTGTAATCGACCAGGGTGTCTACACTGGCACCGCAGCGCTGTAGCCCTGGCACAGAAAGCCTCTCATCGGGGTGGAGTTTTTTTAAATAGCGCTGCAACTGCACAGTTTCTGCACACTAAGTGACTTGGCAGTGTGTAGACCTCAGAAGTTACATGGCAGAGAGCTGGTTTACTGTGCAGAAACTTGCCAGTGTACACAAGGCCATAGATGACTTATATAACATAAGAATGGAAGACTGGTCATACTGGGTCAGACCAATCATCCATCTAGCCCAATGCGCTGCCTAAGAGTGACCAGTGCCAGAGGGAATGAACAGAACAGGCTTGTTGACCTGCAAGATGAGGGTCTTTCCCCCTTACCTTTAACTTCATTGTTGTCAATTCCTACTTCTCCTATCTTACCATACCTCCCCCGAAGTCTCTGGGCAACTCAGGTGTGAACCACTCCTTTGATACCGACGTGTCCCAATCCAGCTCAACTGAGGCAGACTTTGGGCCAATGTGAGTTTGGGAAAGGCCCACTTAACCCATGAATGAAAGAAACACAAGGCCAGTTCTGAGGAGGTTTCCAGAGCCAGGCCTGAGGGCTAAATAGTTGTGCTCAAAAGGAAAAGGGGCCTCAGCACCTATAAAAATAACTGGCTGCAAAAAAACAAAACAAAAATTAAATTAAAAAACCAAACCAAAAAAACAACCCAGAAAAGCTACCATCACACATCCATCACTATTTTAGATTTTGACATCTCCTGCCTGATGTGACATCTTCGCTTTGCAAACAAGAGACCTGGGGAACTCTGGGCTGTTACCCTCTAACTGGGTAAAAGATTACACATCTTGTCTCAAGTAATTTTCCTCTTCATGAAAGATTTATTTTAAAATTTATCAAAATAAATTCCATTTCACATAGAAATAATTACAGTCTATATTGGGTCTCTATTCTCGTACATGCTATTTCTCTCACATATTCCCCCACTCTAATTCCTTTGGAGTTGAGATTTTAATTTCAGGATTAGCCACCATTTCCAATATAGTAGGAAGGGACAGGGAGAGAACTAGAAAAAAACCTGAATTATATTGTAACACTGAAAGTTATTACATAATCAGACTCTTATGTTACACTAATTAACTTCACGTTTAATTTCATTGTCGCTGGTAACAACTTTTTCAAAGATTACAAAATATAAACCTATAGGGCAGTTTTCTCTTAATTCCACCAGTGAGCTTTGTGTGAAGTTACATTCTACAATAACCGAGGAGCCTTCCATTCCTGTGAGTTCATGTCTCCCTGGGTCTTCTCCCAGAAGTGTGGGTTGAAGGGGTCTCACACTACGTGGGAAGCTTGCATCATGAGAAAAACCACCTGTGCTCTATTTTCACACTTTCTAATCTTTCAAAGTAGCAAGAGGTGGAGAAGTGATAGAAATACATTAGATTAAGAGCAAAATTAAGAGACCAAACCACATACTCTGGACTCAGCGTTCATATATCCTGCAGTCTGAATTTGGAATCTGATATACTGCCCCATTGGCACCATCATTTGCCCAGCATGGAAGTGCTTCTTGTCCAACAAGGCAGCCAGATTGGGACCCATAGGCATGGAACCAGCTGTCTCTCTCTGATTCATCAAACTTTGGGAACAACTGTCTTTTACCATTTGGATCCAATTTAATCATGGCATCCTTTAGGAGCGTGATCACTGCCACTTAACTAGGGAGCAGCATTCTAAAAATAGTTTACCTGGGCCACAGGTCACCCTAGCGTCCATCTCTGGGGTGAAAATCAACCACTAGTATCTGCAAGGTCTATCTTTGACCTTACTTGGAGTAATTTTACACTTCTCTGGCATAGAATTCCCCACCAACCACCCAACATATCAGTAGCGATAATGAGGTATAACTCCCCCAAATATGCCCTTTTATTTCTTTAATCTGGTGGCACAGATTTAAATTAGGGACTAAATTCAGGTGCGTTTTAGAATCCCTGTAAGAAGCCAAATGTCAGGTATCCATTAAAAATAGGTTTCTTTCTGCAGCTATATCACATTTAACACAGATTTCATTTTCTACACATTTGCAGCAGCATCTCCCATGGGTGAGTTGAACAGCAATGTCACTTCCATTTTTCCCATCCCTACCTAGCTAGAGATTGCATTTCCCAAATAATAGGCAACACGCACCTGATTAGGAAGGAGATATCTTCAGGAGCGACCTCCTGCAGGGCTTGGGCCACAACTGCTTTGGGAGACCAATGCATGGGTATTTTGCTTAGTTACAAGTGACCAACAACTGATGATTTGCACAGATTTGTCATCATCGGATCGATGGACTACCAAGGACTAGGGAATCCTCTTCTCAGCCCTTCAGAAAAAATATTGACCTAACCAATTGAACAACAGGGGGATTGGGATGGTGATGGGGAATAATGAAATCCCTCTGCCTTACCCTATCTTCTTCTGTTGTTACAGAGGTGAAATAACATTTTCCCCTATCCCTGCCATTTGTATATTTTAAGTGAGGAAAATAGTAGTAAAAATATCTGCTCTCCAGCACAACCTGAAGCAACATCAGAGCAACTGGGAATGAAACAATTTGTTCCCGAAGGGAGAACTTGATACCTAACAATTGCTTTGAAATGGGGGGGGACAGTATAACCGTGATGCTCAGGGTTTGTTTAGACTAGGAAAAGTGATGGAGTTTAGGTCAGGTCAAGGGGAAAGCTAATGCCAACCACTGCACCTGGGCTGCATCTGCACTACAACTATGATTGTCTTTTTACACCAAGATCACTAACTTGAGCAGCCAATGCCATGTACAGTCCTGGTGGATGTAAGGAACAGGTAGTTTTTGCCTCAGTGTAGCTTGTTGGGATCAAACCTCTCCCTCAATATTCCTGGCTGGAGGGACACACACTCCTATGCCTCAAAAGGAAAGGAGTTGATAGAAATGATCACAGGACTGACCCCAAAGAAGGGTGAGCTGAAAAAGGCAGAAGCAGGCAACTCATGTGGGCGAGCTGAGAGACTACGGTGAAGATGGTGCAAAGATCACTATGTGCAAATTAGCAAATGTGATTTAAAAAAAAAAAAGTCTTTGGCCAGCCCTAGTCAAGGCATTTATTACAGTTCTCTCTCATATGGATTTTCTGATGCCTGATAAGGTTTGAGCTGTGATTGAAGCTTTTCCCACATTCAGAGCATGTGTAGGGCATCTCTCCTGTATGGATTCTCCGATGTGTGACGAGGTGTGAGCTCCGACTGAAGCATTTCCCACACTCAGAGCACGTGTAGGGCATCTCTCCTCTGTGGATTCCACAATGTCTGATAAGGTGTGAATGCTGATTAAAGCTTTTCCCACACTCAGAGCATGTGTAGGGCGTCTCTCCTGTGTGGATTCTACAATGTGTGATAAGGTTTGAGTTCCGATTGAACCTTTTCCCACATTCAGAGCATGTGTAGGGTGTCTCTCCTGTATGGATTCTCTGATGTGTGATAAGGTTTGAGCTATAATGGAAGCTTTTCCCGCACTCAGAGCATGTGTAGGGTGTCTCATCCGTGTGGATTTTCTGATGTCTATTAAGGTTTGAGCGCTGATTGAAGGTTTTCCCACACTCGGAGCATGTGTAGGGCGTCTCTCCTATGTGGATTCGCTGATGTGAGATGAGGGTTGAACTATCAGTGAAGCGTTTCCCACACTCAGAGCATCCATAAGGTTTCTCACCCGTGTGAATTCTCTGATGTTTGAAAAGGTTTGAGCTCCAACTGAAGCATTTCCCGCACTCAGAGCACGTGTAGGGTTTCTCTCCTGTGTGGATTCTACAATGTGTGATAAGGGCTGAGCTCCGACTGAAGCTTTTCCCACACTCAGAGCATATGTAGGGTCTCTCTCCTCTGTGGATTCGCTGATGTGTGAAAAGGTCTGAGCTCCCATTGAAGCTTTTCCCACACTCATGGCATGTGTAGTGTGTCTCTTCCAAGTTGATTCTCTCACGTGTAATAAGATCTGAGTGGCTCAAGTTTTCCTCTGGCCTCTGCTGACTCTCACAGGCTTTTGCTTTTCCTGGGAGTGCACAACTCCCAGAAACATTTCCTTTGGATCTTTCTGATAACGTCCCATGTGGTTCTACTTGCTCAGCATCCTCCTGCCGGGGTTTCTCTTCCTCATTCTCACTCACCATCCCAAGACCTGATGGGTGACAGAGAGAATCCAGATGTAGGTCACTCCCTGTGCCGGAGAGAAAGGAAATCTCAGAGACAGGAATGGTAAAAGGGATGAACAAATCAAAATATGTGTGGGAGAGATCAAACCTATCAGGAGCAGATTTTCTCCAAACCCTTCCCCAGAGGACAAAGGAAGGGATCAGTTTTGGTCCGCATCTCACCAGGACACTCAGGGGAAAGCGAGATCGGGGAGGGATGTGCTGCCAGTTGTCAGTCAGAAAGGACAGTTACCTGTTCCGTAACTGGTGTTCGAGATGCGTTGCTCATGTCTATTCCACAGTAGGTGTGCGTGCTCGCCACGTGCACCAGTGCCAGAAGTTTTCCCCTCAGCAGTACCCGTAGGGGGAGCGCTGCTGCAACCCCTGGAGTGGTGCCTCTATAGTGCGCTATAAGGGGAGCAGTGCGCTCCCCCACCCTCAGTTCCTTCTTGCCAGATCAACTCCGACAGAGGGGAAGGAGGGCGGGATGTGGAATAGACATGAGCAACACATCTCGAAGAACGCCAGTTACGGAACAGGTAACGGTCCTTTCTTCTTCGAGTGCTTGCTCATGGGTATTCCACAGTAGGTGACTGCAAGCTATGTCTGATGGAGGTGGGTAGGAGTTCACAGATTCTCTGGCTGAAGCACAGCTCTACCGAAACCAGCATCATCCCTGGCGTGGGAGACAATCACGTAGCGCAAGGTGAACGTGTGCACTGAGGACCAGGTAGCGGCTCTACAGATGTCCTGGATACAGACATGGGCCACAAAGGCTGTCGCCGAGGCCTGAGCCCTTGTCGAATAAATCCTTACAATAGGTGGTGCGGAAACCCCTGCTAGGCTGTAGCATGTCCAAGCCCATGTGAAAAGCGGAGACCACCTTAGAGAGGAATGCTGGATGTGGGCGGAGCTGAACCTTGTCCTTGTGAAAGACTGTGTAAGGGGGGGGGTCGCAGGTCAGGGCTCTGAGCTCCGAGACCTGCCGGGCTGACGTGATGGCCATGAGGAAGGCTACCTTCCATGAAAGGTGAGACCATGAGCATGTGGCCAGGGGTTCAAATGGGGGCCCCATGAGGCGGGATAACACCAAATTTAGATCCCACTTAGGGACGGGGCTCTAGCATAAGGAAAGGACCTGTCTAGCCCTTGAGGAAATGCCCGGTCATGGCATGGGAGAAAACCGAGCAGCCCTGGACCAGCGGATGGAACGCCGAAATAGCCACCAGGTGCACCCTGATGGAGGAAGGGGTCAGGCCTTGAGTTCTAAGGTGAAGAAGGTACTCGAGGATAAGTTGGAGCGGGGCAGACGTTGGGAAAGTACCCCGCTCGCCTGCCCACCTGGAGAACCTGGACCACTTCACCAGGTAGGCTCGGCGGGTGGATGGCTTTCTACTTTCGAGGAGCTTACGCCTGACCCCTTCCGAACACATGAAAGGGCATGTGGTGGCAAGAAGAAACTGAGGGTGAGGGGAGCACGCGGCTCCTCTTATAGGATGTTATAGAGGTGCCACTACAGGGGTCGCAGCAGCACTCTCCCTACGGGTATTGCTGAGGGAAAAACTTCCGGCACCGGTGCTCGTGGCGAGCACGCACACCTACTGTGGAATACACATGAGCAAGCACTCGAAGAAGAATAGGTGGGAAGCCATGAGTGACATCTGCAGGGAACAATCCTGAACTTGGAGAACTCACAAGGTCTTTGTAAGGCATCCCAAATGTTTCCTGTATTCACAGACAGTTTTTGAGTTGGTTTAATCAATTTCTCACCTGTGCAGGCAGCTCTCGGGAGCACTTCTTTCTCAGAGCCCTGGAGGTTTGGGACCCACGGCTCTTTCCCTCGTCCCAGATGCGACATCACATCAGGTTTGGAAACTGGAAACCCTACTCAAGGCAAAGAAAAGAAGGGAGGTCAGTGGAATTTGTGGGATACTTGTCACAAAGAATATTCCATGGTTTTAACCCCAGCTCATTTTTAAGCAGTAACATCCCAAGGCCAGCTTCCTTGGCTCAATGTGGCATGAGAGTTATTATAATAAATCATATTCATTACCTTAGTGCCTAAGGACCAACTAAGAGTGGGTCCCCATTGTGGTAGGCAAAGTACAAACACGGAATAGTAGATGGCCCATGCCCTGAAGAATTTACAATCTAAATAGACAAGACAGACACAGAATGGGGGAAGGGGTAGAACCCACTGTTAGAATATAGATATTCAGGCCTGCCTGTAAAGCCTATACTTTAAGAACGTAGGTGTATTTTTATCACTTAGCTAGTTACAGGGGTATAAAAACAAAAAATCTAAATCACAGTCCGCCTGTGTCTGGGCCTTGTCTCATTAGGATGGTCTGAGCCTTGTTCTTAGGCTAAGGCCTTTGGCTAAGCTGCAGGGGGAGCCATAAGCCGGGAAGCGTAGGGTCACATTCCAAACCAGTTACACTGAAATAAGGTGGTATTGGGCTGCTAGAAAGATAGTGCCCATCACCACCAGATAAAGAAACAGATCTTCAGATGGTTAAAGAAAACTTAGTTTGATAGCATCCTGTCTGGCTAGAAATCACTTCTCAATGGTTGTGAAACCCTCATTTCTGTATTGTTTTATCTTTACGTCCCCCACTTTACTATTGTTAACCTGTCTGATTCTCTAATTGTTTCTGTCTGATGTATAATTAATTTTGCTAGGTGTAAGTTAATTAGGGTAGTGGGATATAATTGGTTAGGGAATTATGTTACATGTTAGGATTGGTTAGTTAAATTTCAGTAAAATGATTGGTTAAGGTATAGCTGAGAATATTTATTATATAAACTGGTGTTAAACGGGGGGAAGGGAAATTGGAATCATGTTTGTTAAGGGGGGGAATGGGAATAGGGACACAGGCAAGGTTCTGCAGTGTCAGAGCTGGGAAGGGAACACTGGGAAACAGACTATCGGTGTATAGAGATAAGCCCGACTGGTGTGAAGAGCTTCGGAAAATGCTTGCCTGGAAACTAACCCTAATAAACATCGCATTATCTCACCAGGTTGCAGCCAGACAGATTTCTTGGATCGGCACCTGCACCAGGAAGGCTGATGATGATGCCTGCACCCTAGTGGAGTGAGCCATCATGATAGTCGGCAGGGGCACCTTTGCCAGTTCATAATAGTGGATGCAGGCCGTGATCCAAGACGAGATTCTCTGGGCGGACACTGGGCAACCCTTCATCCTGTCTGCGACAGCAACGAACAACTGCGTTGACATTCAGAACAGCTTCATTCTATCTGTGTAGAAGGCCAGCACCCGTCTGACGTCCAGGGTATACAGCCTGCATGCCTCATCCATCACATGAGGCTTTGGACAAAAGACCAGTAAATATATGTCTTGACCAGTATGAAACTGGGAGACGAGCTTGGGCAGAGAAGCCAGGTGCAGATGCAGCTGAATCTTGTCCTTATAGAAGACCATATAAGGCGGCTCTGATGCGAGTGTCCTGATGTCGGAAACCCTATGGGCCAAAGATATAGCGACCAAGAAGGAGACCTTCCAGGATAGAAGCAGGAGGGAGCAGGAAGCAAAGGGTTCAAAGCGGGAACCCATGAACCTTGACAGCACAAGAATCAGGTCCCAAGGGGAGACCAGGTCCCAGACATGAGGGTAGAGATACTCCAGATCTTTCATGAACCGTGCGCCATCATGGAATGGGCGAAGACAGTTTCTTTTTTTTTTAAGGGTATGGAAGAGACTTCAGGATGTCATCTAGTCCAACATCAACTAAATCATCCCAGCCAGGGCTTTGTCAAGCTGGGCCTTAAAAACCTCTAAGGATGGACATTCCACCACCTCCGTAGGTAACCCATTCCAGTGCTTCACCACCCTTGTAGTTCAACATAGACCTCCCTCACTGCAACTAGAGACCATTGCTCCTTGTTCTGTCATCTGCCACCACTGAGAACAGCCGAGCTCCATCCTCTTCGGAATCCCCCATTCAGGTAGTTAAAGGCTGCTATCAAATCCCCCCTCACTCTTCTCTTCTGCAGACTAAACAATCCCAATTCCCTCAGCCTCTTCTCGTAAGTCATGTGTCCCAGCCCCCTAATCATTTTCATTGCCCTCTGCTGGACTCTCTCCAATTTGTCCACATCCTTTCTGTAGCGGGGTGCCCAAAACTGGACGCAATACTCCAGATGTGGCCTCACCAGTGCCAAATAGAGGGGAATAATTAGTTCTCTTGATCTGCTGGCAATGCTCCTACTAATGCAGCCCAATATGCCGTTAGCCTTCTTGGCAACAAGGGCACAGTGCTGACACATATCCAGCTTCTCATCCACTGTAATCCCCAGGTCCTGCCTTGAAACGGAGTGTGGAATGACAAAATGGCTGCCAGGTGTACCCTGAAGAAAGACAGCAACAGGCCCAGGAGCTTAAGGTTCAGCAAAGGTCCAGGATGTGCTGCAGTGGGGCCTCTTCAGTGCAAATGTGTCAGAGGCCCAACACGTGAACCGCTTCCACTTTGCCACATAGGTAGCCATGGTGGAGGGTTTCCTGCTGCCCAGCAGGACCTGCTGGACACCATCGGAGCACTGCCATTCGTCCATACTTATCCACGCAGAAGCCAAGCTGTCAGGTGCAGCATCGCCAGATACAGATGCAGCAGATTGCTGTGGTTCTGGAACAGCAGATCCGGCCAAAGAGGCAGCTGCAGCAGGGTGGCCACTGAAAGACTCAACAGCCTGCCAAACCATGGCGAGGCCATGCAGGGGCTATGAGGATGCAAAACAAAGAAAATGTCATCATCTTTAGCAGGACCTTGTGGATTAAAGGCACCGGCGCAAAGGCATATATCAGCGCTCCCGACCACTGAATCAAGAAGGAGTCTCACAGGGAGCTTTTGTCCCTTCCCTGCAGAGAACAGAACACGTGGCACTTTCTGTTCTGCCTAGATGCAAACAGGTCCACCTGTGGCGTCCCCAACCTATGGGGGATTAGGTAGTCCACCTCCGGATGGAGTGACCGTTCATGGCGAGACGAGAAGGTCCTGCTGAGGTGATCTGCCAGGACGTTCTTGGTTCCAGGCAGGTGGGCGGCTACAAGATCAATGGCATGCTGCACACAAAAGTCCCAGAGGCTGAGCACCTCCCAACAAAGGGCTGAAGACCTGGCACTGCCCTGTCGATGTAATACATTGCAGCGGTATTGTCTGTCAGGACCTGCATGTCCAAGACCAGGGTGAGTGGCGGAGATGGGGTCATGAAGGGAACTCCTTGCAGCACCAACTTGGGATCCAGCCCCCAGTCCAGGGACGAGAGGATGTGGCTCGGCACCGTGACGACTCGGTCCAGGGCGTGCCTGCTGGGGATATAGACCGAGGCCAGCCATGCTTGCAGAGGCCGCAGATTAAGTCTGACCGTGTACGTGCACGCGGCCATGTGGTCCATCAGTCGCAGGCACGTGTGGGCCATGGTGAGCAAGTAGCTCTTTACGTGGGAAATCAGGTCCAATATGGCCCAAAAATGCACCTCCAGAAAGCAGGCCCTGGTCCGCGAGTCGTCGAGAACCGCTCTAATAAATTCTATGCATTGGACTGGAGTCAACGTGGACTTATCTGTGTTTAATAGTAGGCCCAGGTCACTGCAGGTGGAGTGCACCAGATCAAGGCTCCTTTGCACCTACCGCGGAGACCTACCCTTGATGAGCCAGTCATTGAGATATGGGAAGATCTGGATCCCTTGACGTGTCAGGTAAGCTGCCACTGGCATCATGCATTTTGTGAACATTCTGGGAGCCGAGGACAGGCCAAAGGGAAGCGCTGTGAACTAGAAGTGGTGCCCAGCCACCACTGAACGCAGGAAACTCCTGTGTCCCAGGAATCTGTAGACATGAAAGTAAGCATCCTTGAAGTTGAGAGTGACATACCAGTTTCCCAGATCCAGGGAAGGGATGATGGAGGCCAGAGAGACCAAGCGAAATTTCAACTTCTTGAGAGATGTGTTGAGGCGATGCAGGTCCAGGATGGGTCTTAGGCCCCCTTTGGCCTTCAGGATTAGGAAGTAGCGGGAGTAGAATCCTCTTCCTTACATGTCCCAAGGAACCTTCTGCACAGCCCCCAAGTCCATGAGCTTTTCGACCTCCTGAATGAGGAGTTGCTCATGAGAAGGGTCCCTGAGAAGGGACAGAGAAGTGGGAGGGAGAGGCAGTGAAAAATTGCAGGGTATAGCCCCGAGCTATTATGTCCAGGACCCAGCAGTCCAATGTAACCTGCGACCAGGTCGAACGGTAGGGAGAGAGGCGGTTAAGGAAAAGGCAGGAAGGATCCGGATGGCTGTCTGGGGCTTCGCTCTCGGGCGCACCCTCAAAATGAGCATTTTTGGCCCACTAGATGTTTGGCGGGTTCAGGTTGCACAGGTGAGTGGGAGGAAGAAGGGCATCCATGACTAAAACTAGCATCCCTTCTTAATGCAGAGCCATGATGGGGTTGCCAGTCTTGGCTGGGGCGGCTTTCTAGCAGACTGTGATGTGTGCATGCCCAATGAGCGAAGGGTAGCTCTAGTGTCCTTCAACCCGTGCAGCCTGGTGTCCATCTGCTCAGAGAAAAGACCAACCCTGTCGAAGGGGAGGTCTTGAATTGAAGTCTGAATCTCCTGGGAGAAGCTTGCTGTTTGGCGCCACATAACAACCGCCAATGTGACCACCCAAGCCGCCGAGTCCGCTGCATGCCATGCCATCTACAGGGAGCATCTGGCCACCGTGGTACCCTCCTCCACTAGGATGCCAAACTCTTGGGCTAGACCTTGCAGGAACTTTTTGAGACCGTCCCAGAGGTTAAAGTTATATCTGCCCAACAGGGCCTGATGGTTTGCCACACAAAATTGTAAGCAGGTGGTAGAATAAACTTTTCTCCCAAATAGGTTGAGCCTTTTGGCCTCTTTGGTCTTGGGAATTGAGGAGGTGTGACCTTGTTTGTCCTTGTTGTTGGCCGCAGACACAACCAGCGAGCCCGGGGGTGGGTGGGTATAAAGGTATTTGAAACCTTTGGCCAGAACAAAATACTTCTTCTCGGCCCATTTCGAGGTGGGAGGAATGGAGGAAGGGGTTTGCCAAAGGGTCTTGGCTATCTTGAGAACCCCTTCATGCACAGGCAGGGCGACCAGGGTGGGCGTAGAGGTCAAGAAGACATTGAAAGGGTGTCCCCTCCTGCTCTGCCATCTCCTGCACCTCCAGCCCCAAGTTCTCGGCCACGTGCCAAAGTAGGGCTTGATGCTCCCTAAAGTCATCCGGTGGGCTAGCCCTTGAAGATCCTGTGACCACTTCATCCGGGCACAATGAGGAAGATTGGACCGCTGGGGGAAGTCCTGGGGTGTCAACTGCTGCCGCGGATGGAGGCAAAGGGGTGAGCATGGGTTCCTCCACTCCGGTCTCCGAACAAGCCCCAGGCACCAAGCACAGAGAATTGATTGGTGGCACCGATACGGCAACCGAGGAGCACTGCGAAGGGGGCGTCGTCATATCCGGTACGCCCCACGTGCTCCAATAAGGCCACTGCCCACACTGCAACTGCGTTGCCGCAGATGACAGTACGGGTTCCGGTGCCCAATCTCACCAATGGGACCTGGGCAATGGGCTGAACTGGCCCTCCATGCCGGAGGAATCACCTTCCGGGGACCAGGGAGGGGCCCTTGAGGCCTGTAGCTGTTTGCTGGTCATGGCTACCAGTGACCGCTGACCAGATGTGGGAGACTGGTGTTAGTACTGGGGAGAATGGTACCAGAGCCAGGGAGAACAGGGCTGAGACAGGGAATGCTCCCACTGCGCCAGCGATCGGGACCAACATCTGGAGGACGACCGACGAGAGGATGAGCAGTGCTGGGAGTAGTGCACATGGAGAAAAATTGATCACCATCCTCTGTATAGCAGCCCTTAACATAGCTGAAGACTGTTATCAGGTCCTGCCCTCCTCCCTCCCCCCAGCCATCTTTTCTCAAGACTAAACATGACCAATTCTTTACCTTTCCTTACAGGTCACATTTTAGAATAGTGAGCTAGCTTTGTGGCTTTAATTTTCAATGGATATGAGCAGGGCATGATTGCAATAAGAATGGTGCAATAATGGAGACAAGAGATGATGAGAGCCTGGTTAAGAGTTTTAGCTGTGTGGATGGATAGGAAAGCCTGTGGGACGTGATTGTAGAAAGAAAATGCAAGATGTTGAAATAGGCTGCATGGAAGGACCTAGAAAGAGGTGTGTGTTGCAGCGTATGTGCAGCGCACAGACGTGAGTGACAGAAGGGATAGTGAAAAGAACAGGAGTACTTGTGGCACCTTAGAGACTAACAAATTTATTAAAAGAAGGGATAGTGGTGGTTTCTCCAGTGATACAGAAAGGAGGTGGGGGGTGGCTTGGGGAAATATTAAGAGCTGTGTTCTGGCCATTTTAGCTTTTGAACTTGAGCTGATGGCCAGACATTTATGAGGAAGTGTTAGAGAGAGAGGCTGAGATTTCAGTTTAGGGAGAAAGACAGGTCTGGAGCAGAGAGTTAGATCTGTGAGTTGTCAGCATAGAGACGGTAGCCGAATTTGTGTTTGTGGATGAGATTACCAGAGATAAAGTACAGAGGAAGAAGAGAAGCGGACCAAGGACAGAGCTTGTGTAAGGCCTGTAGAAAGCTAGAGTGGGGATGAGGAGGACTGTCCAAGGACACACTGAAGGAGAGATCAGAGAAGTAGGAGGAGAAGC